GAAAGGATGGCTCGTGTACCCTAAGTTAGTGCTGTAGGTAGCTTAATGTACGCTATGATATGTACCTGTCCCGATATTTGTTGTGCGGTAGGCCTAGTTAGTAGTTTTCAGTCAAATCCTGTAATAGTTCATTGGAAAGCAATCAAAAGGATATTACAATATCTCAAGGGGACTTCAGATTATATGTTGTGCTACTAGTCTCCAGATTTACAGATGGTTGGTTATAGTGATGCTGATTGGGGCGGTGATTAGATGAACGCAAGTTCACATCAGGATATGATTTCTTACTTAATGGTGGGGCAATTACATGGAGTAGTAAAAAGCAATCATGCATATCCTTATCTACCATGGAAGTAGAATATTTGGCTTGTTCTGCTATTGTAGAAGAAGCTGTTTGATTAAAAAAGGTCTTTCAACATCTAGAAGTTGTCACAAATACCTTGGGCCCAGTGACGATTCATTGTGATAGCGTGACTGTATTAGCTTATGCTAAGGATTCTAAGTATCATGAACGAACAAAACACATAGATCTAAGAAATCATTACATCAGAGACATGATTGCACAAAAAGAAGTAATGTTGAAACACATACCTACAACTCAGCTGGTTGCAGAACCCCTAACTAAGCCTATAGCTAGAGACGTATATATGGCTCATGTTAGAACTTTAGGACTACGTAGGTACTGATTATGTGCTAGAGATTGTATGGATCACACAATCATTTGTATTAACATTTTTTTTGGGATATTAATACATAGTTTTATTGCAATTAAATGTTATATTGCTTGATTACCTTGATATTTGAGAAAGCAGACACATTAAGTATGTTAGCAAGCGTGATTGACTCACTCACACGAGCAATTGCCTTTGGCGCTTGATATGGCAAGCAAAGATGAGATACTCTAATATGTAGTATCGCTCTGTTTTGTACACAGAATGAGATCTAACATTTGAGGATCGATAATGGACACAACTCCATGTCCATTATGCTTGTGTTTGTTGATTAGCCAGATGCGAGATATTAATTTGACATCTTTGGTGGGCGAGCAAATAGAGAACTCGGGTTAGATGCTTGTAGAACTTCTAGACTGAGATCTGTACGGTGTTTCAGTATGACATACGCTTTCATTAGGATCGAGACACTCCATCGTAGCATGTATTTCATATTACATGTGCTTGGCGACAATTAAGGAGGTGAAGGAATGGATCCCTGCTTCACTGTGTGAACCCTCCGAGTCATTTTTACATGACCAGGTTATTTTGTTTAACCAAACATTATATGTACTCTTTGACTTTTGACTATTTCATAAAGTGAAAGAATTAATGCTCAGTTACTTTGGCATGTTACTTATGACCATGAGTGATTCGGCCTTTCGGGACATTACTGGGAAAGCGATTAATTTTGAACTAAGTGACATGAGGGCGAAAGGAAGACCATTTGGAACATCCCGCGATATATTCATTGTCAACAACTTTGGGTGCTAGTTTAGATAATGACAAAGTGAGAATTTATAGGCAAAAGCTTCGAGGGGTTATGCATGCTCTTATATTATGAGGGATTAGAGATGCTTGAATCGGTGTAACTGAATGGGTCTAGAGTATTTGAGACACTGTTTTCATTTTTTTTAGGGCTAATGTCTCTATGTTGGCTTTGTAGAGTTTGTAGTGTAGAACTCACAAATTGCAGGTGTGCTCAGTGGTCGCACGGCCCATTAGCCTGTTTGAATTAATGTTGATGTATATAATGGATTAAGAGAGATGACAGTGTCATACCCACCACGTGCGAGTGAGAGATGTACCCGAACCGGGGCACCCATGATGGGTTAACCCAAATTAAAGAATGCCCAAAGGGGCATGTCTTTTGAAGGTATCCTTTACCAAGAGATATTCTTTACCAAAAGGTATCCTTCACCCAAAATACATGCCTATTAAATATTAACAGACATGTCCCTATAGAATGTATCAATTAATGACATCCATTGGATGCCTATATAAAGTCAAGGCAATCCAATAGATGAGCATCTCTGATAATTGATCTAACATTAAAACTCTCCTACTCTCTTCTCTCTCTCTCTCTCCCTACATAACATTTGTAAGACTTTTCTGCTGTGAAAAATCTGGTGTTGATTCGTTTTATGTAACAACATCATATTGCTCGAGCAATTAAAGAAAAGACGTTAATTTGAATTCTAAAGTACGTGGAACATCCTCAAACAGTTTTTGGATTAAAACAAATAAGGTATGGTTTTTTTTTTATCCTACGCTTCCGCAATGTGTTATACAATTCCTGCTACAGTTATCAATCTCAATTGCTAGCTCCTCCTGCCAAAATAAGCACATCCCCTCCAGAGAGGCCCATTGGTTCAATGGTTAATTGCTTATTGAATCCCGACCTTCTTCGTATCCTTTCAATCCCATCCTTTTTCATTTTAGTTTCACAGACATATAACTTGCGGTTTATATAAGATACATAGATCCTTTAAAGCCCTTGACAATTCCAGGATATTAGCCTCATTTTTGAGGTGGGGGAGTGGTAAGGCCCGTCTCAGCCGAATAACTCTAATTAACTTACTGCTACATCAAAACGATCTCCATCTGCATCAGTTACTCCCTCCTTTCCTTAGATTCATTTATCTTCCCCTGGTTCGTTTCCACTTCTTAGCTAACATTCATTAACCTAATTGGGGTTGGAGTTCCACGTTTTGTGGTATTTAGATTTGATGTATCCTACAAATTGGGTTGACCTTTAAGAGCATTTGCATCACTCTACATGGATTTATAAACAACACAATGAAACAACTTGTGCTTCAACCCAAAAGTCCTCTCCAACTTGAATTTTTTGTTGTTGTTGTTGCATCTGTGCTCCGAGCATGTATTTTAATCTGTTTGCATTCTTAAAGGTCACTGTTTCTTTAACTCTTCTCTCCCTTTTCTTTTTCTTTTTCTTTTTCTTTTTCATTGGAAATAGTTTTATGCATATCTTAAGTTTAGTTTAAAGGCTTTCTAGTCTGAACAGAGTACAGTTGATAAAGCTTTGCTCTTTTTTTTTTTTTCTTTTTTTGTTTATTAATATAGAAACGTTAAGATGCATATTCCTTTGTTGAGATGTATATCAAGTGAAAGGGACCCAATGTGAAATAGATGGTTTCAATAACATGATGATGAAAGTTCAGTTCCTATTTTCCTCGTTGGCATACCTTTTAAATGTTAACTTCGTACATCTTTGTCATAGGCATATCTGGTGCATGTTTCTTGGAAAACATAAAGGCAATCATTCCCAATTTATATGTCAAATTCTTTGCTTCTGCTTGGCAACTTTTGTTGAATTTATGAGTTGAACGTATGTTCAATAAATTGTTGAATTGCATGGCATTTTTTTGTTCTCGACTTTCATGGTTTTTTTTAACCAAAACATACGCTCGGGAGGACAGCTAACCCAACTCAAAGGTAAAGAGCTGTCCATCACAGAAGCTGCCATATTACTGGCTCTAGGCTTGTATGAAAATCTCAAATTCAGAGAACTAGCAAAATGCCTAATATCTTCAATAAAGGTATTGATTTCCCAGTCTCTGTCAAGCTAACTTTGATCACTTCATGGTTGTTATTATTGATATAAAATCAACTGTTTTGGTATATATTCTTATTGAGTTCACTTTTGTCTGCCTCTTTTATTTTTTTGGCACTTGTTTACTCCTCTAGGTGTCATTCCTGAACTTCACTGGATTTTGCATCATTAGTTTTTGTCGGAAAGTAAAAGTTTCATTTGTTAATTAGGTTAGGTCTCTCCTTTGGTGTGTAAACCAATTTTAGTCCTACTGAATTTTTAGTATAAAAAAAGGTCCTCCGGTTTTTGGAAAAAATTGAATGATGTGTTCTCGGGAATGTTAAGAGATTGATTAGTTACTGATTTTTATTATTCATTTTGCCCTCATCACTTGATTTCTTTCTAAAATATACGGCAGGCTTTCTTACAGAAGGAGAAACTGAAAGCATCAATGCATAGCAAAATTCAAAGTAAAATACCATTTTGTAATCAATTGAAAACATTTATAAATATCTTTAATACAAACTTTCACCTATAAAATGAGTAGTTACTCCAGTGCACGCCCAAACCCATATTAATCATAGTACTGATGCGAAGTCGAAAATCTCATCGACTCTGAATCCATTACCAGGCAAATCAAAATCATACTCACATAATTTTGACGCCACTTACATGCTCACACGATTTCAGTCTAAAATATAGTCTTTTTTTTTTGAATTTGTTATTGAGGTTTTTGCGGTATTGTTTATTAGTTTTGAAATTCAAATTGGTGAACCAAACTATTTGGACATTATTAACATTTGTGTTCATGGAGAAGAAAGTACATTAACAATCTGTGCTTTAGTGTACTTGTCTGATGATCTATTTTTTATGGAGAAGAAGGTAAGTTAACAATTTATATTTTAGTGTATCTGTCTAATGATCTGTGTTTTAGTGTACCTGTCTAATGATTTATGTTTATGGGGAAGAAGGGACATTAACGATCTGTGTTTGTACGGGTTACTAGTTAAGTAAGACAAGAATCTGAAGCAGACCTAGTTGCATTGGTTGTTGGTTCTGAGCTGAATTCGTAATTGTTAAGGAAGCAAGTTGGTCCCTTCTAGGGTACTTGATGAGGCTCTTAGAAGAGAATTACAGACTTTTATTGGTTGTTGAAAGACATGTTATAACTCCCCTCCAAAAATCATAGATTGTAATGGAGAGGCTTAGCTTCATAGCCACTGCCAATGTAGTTTTTCCCTTGTGATATTTAGCTGCTTTGGAACTGGTTCAAGATTAAATGCAACATCTGCCTGCTCATAATCAAAGTGTATTTCTTGTTGCATTGATTTGTTTATGATCTAATGTGTTTTTTTATCCGGTGTACTCGATCTTGTTTTAATTCTTGTTGGTGTAGCTTGTATGTGTCTATTTTTATGTATACTTTTGTGGGCTAAATTGTGGACCGCATTATAGGGATGGCATTTCGCACAAAGTTTCAGACAAAGTTTCGCCCAATGTTTCACAGAACTAAGGATTTTTTGCAGAATGTACTAACGCCAGTTGTTACAGTGAAAACTGCATACGATTATGTAAAAGAGCCATCAAACAGTGAACTTAGCGACAAACTGGACAAAGTGTCAGCAAAGATTGAACTTAAGGACCAACTGGTGGATAGCAAAATCATTGATGGCTGCAGTGAACTTAAGGAACAATCGGCCAAGTTGTCACAGCACACTACAGCAAAGTCTAGCAAAATCACTGATGTTGTGAAAAAGTTCTGTAAATCGGCTGATGGAAGTAGTGTAAGCCCAGCCTGAGCTGTTTTTGCTGGTTTTCACTGGGGGATAGGAGAAAGAATGTTGGTGGGAAAGTGCTTGGTTTATTTTTCTAGGCTGAGTCAGTTTGGAGATTGGGTCTAAACTTTGAGTTGGAACGTTTTTTAATTTGCGTGGAGGTATGTTAGTGCACTTCTGAACCTATTTTCAACTGGAATAACTATGTTTGGTTTAATAACTGTTTAACAAAGCTGCTTGTTCGATATATCTGCAGGCTTTTATACGTTCAATGGAATGCTAGCTTTAGGCTTTGTATGTTGTGTATGCAGGCTTAAGTTGTTCTATGAAATGCATGCCCCTTGCTTTCACATGTCAAGACATTTTCTTTAGTTTGCTTATACATAAATCAGATCTCATGCAGTATTGCCTTCTGCGTTTTCCTTGTCCTCGTGAAGTTGAAGTGACACTCTTTTTCCTTGTCCAGAAGACCAGAACGACCACATCTTGATATGTTATTGGACTACCAGATACCTTGTTAGCTCTAGTTGACTTGTGTAGGGTTGGATTTTAGGAGCAGTCCACCCATGCAACAGGAAACTTCAATTACACATTGGTCGATACTTTCATAATTTATTTTATCTTGTTTAAAAATCATTTTTTTCTTATTTCCATAAAATTTTCAGAAATTTTTACACATTGGAACTACCCCCCCCCCCCTCCCCTCTCTCATTTTAGAAGCCAATGATTGCAGAAAATATCAAGCCATTTTACCATGTCAAACATCCCTTAAAACGAAACCAAATACACCATGTTGCCTTAGCCATCCTTTGTTAGCGGCAGTGACAATGAAGAGTTCCATCATGTTCAATCTAGTTTCCTATGTCTCACTGTGACTTACACCGACCTACTTACCAATTTGGTTAACTCTTAAATCTCAATGGATCATTCTTTGATTTTTTTTTTGTTCAACAGTCAACGTGTTTTGACTAATTTTTTTATTGGTCCGGTTAAAAATAAGTCATTCACACTGAAACTAAGTTATTTACGAGAAAACCTTTGCAACACTCAATGAGAGGAGGGACAAAAGAGAAGAGCTTTGGAGGAGAAACCCCAAAAGGGCAAACCAATGTGTGGGCGTTTCTATGCAGGGGGTGTAATTTGTAAAGATAAAAGAGAAACCTACAAAATTTCTTTACAACAAGGAAAAGAACAATACTTTTCAATAGATCGGATTTGGATTCAATTGAGATTAATTGAAGTCAATAAAAAATTGATTTCAATTTGGTTTAATTATTTGATAAATTTTATGTTCACAACTTGAATTTGAATTCGTCAAAAATTAGGTATTTGATACGAATATATATTTTAGTCTAATAACTTAAATAGGATAAGATGTAGTCTTTGTTTGATAACACTTTTTGAAAGCAAAAGAGTAAATTTTACAAAATTTTGGTTTTGAAAAAGTAACCCCCCCATGGTTTGAAAAAAAAAAAAAAAAAAGTACCCCCATACATACTAATACACTAGAACACAAACACACACACACACACATACACTAATACACTGAAGTTAGGCTTGTGGTAAATCTATGATTTTGTTTTGGGTAAATTATATTAAAGATGATTTTTATGAAACAACACGTTAACCCAGAAAAAGTCACATCTGTTACTCATTTTTTTTTTTTTAGAGTACATATCTATTACTTCAACAACTGGGGAAATCCATAAACTTAAACTATTGCCCCCATCTAGCAAATTAAATAAAATTTCACCACAGACCACAATATAACAAAAATACAACCGAAAAAAAAAAATCCCAACATCTATCCGGATCCCATCTCAAGAACAATTCTTCTTCTTCATCATCTTTATTTCCCTCTGAATATTGAGAGACCATGAGAAATATTGAACCATAATAAACAAGAACAAACATCCTCTAATAATCTGCCGTCGGCAGTTGCTCGTGTGCGTTCTCGCTGATGAAAATGTTGTCGTAGACGAGCGCAGCGATGGCGGCCCCGATCAGTGGCCCGAGCCAGTACACCCAATGGTGTGTCCATGTCCAACTTACCACGGCAGGGCCAAAGGAGACTGCAGGGTTCATGGATGCACCATCAAAGGCACCACCAACTAAAATGTTAGCACCCACAATGAAACCAATTGCTAGAGGTGCAACAATGCCTATGTTTCCCTTTCTTGGATCCACTGCAGTGGCGTACACTGTGTAAACTAGGCCAAATGTCATCACAATCTCGAACACAAACGCGTTCCATGGTGATACACCGGATGACAGGGCAAATGCTGATGTTTCCTGCGATGGTTTGGGTCGAGTTGAGTGATTTTAGGAATAAATTATGAAATTTGATTCAATAAGTACACTATAATTAGGCTTGGCAATTCTTGATACGATTTATAAAGTCAACACCAACAGACACGGATTTAAAGGGTTTGGATGTAATTGTAACGGATTCGGGTGATTAACGGGTTAACTCGTCAGACATATAAAATAAATGAATCAGTTTCGTTTAAACTCGTTTAACCTGTTAATAGTGACACTATAAATTCCAAAAAAAAATTTAGGTCTCTTAGTCTCTGCCTCATCTCACATCTCCCATCTCTCAGACGAATTTAGTAGTAATTTAATGTTTATTTTTTGTCTTTACTTTTTTGATCAATCACAGTTTATTGTTATAATAAATAGGTGAAACACGTGTAATGTGTAGTAAGTTGTTGATTTTTCGTGTGAACTCAAAATATTTTAATCGATTATCCTCTTTAGAGGGTGATACACAGAGTTGTATTGGATAACCCATCTAATAAACGAGTTATCTATGAGTGTGATAATTGAACCCGTTTAAATAAACGAATGAGATATGATGGAGGGTATTTTGATACAAACATATTCTACTTGACACAAAACCATTCACCTGATACCATTGTTAGGCCCTATTGGAGTCACTATTTGCTGGAGGCTAATAATTTGGTAATTTTTAATTTTGTGCCAAAGACTTGTATAATGATATGAAATTCTCAAGTTTCTTACCAGTCCTCCGGTGGCGAACTTAAGAAGCAAGCAAGCAACCACCGAACCTAGCAACTGTGCAATCCAATACAAAATTCCTCTTAACAGTGTAATGTTTCCTCCAAGGAAAGCCCCAAATGTCACGGCAGGATTGACGTGTCCACCGGAAATGTTTGCGCCAACGGAAACCGCCACAAAAAGGGCGAACGCATGGGCTAATGCCGCCGCTATAAGACCCGAAGGAGTTGTTGAGCCACTGTTGGTTAGCTTGTCTGCAAAAATAATCCTCAAATTAGTAGTCAAGAAGTATGTTTTATGCCATACCACACCAAGTGAAAAGTCTTAGAGAAAGGAAGCAAAAGAAGTATAAAGTTAAGTGTGATGCCAAATCATCCAACCCTGCTATCACCTTATCCTCATTAAGTCACAACTCACACTACCATATCTATTACATAAGGCTCATGTTATTAGCAAGATTGGAGAGATAAGTATTAGCCTTGGTTTTTCTTTTTTTTTTTTCATGTTGAGGAAATCTTTTCTCGAACTCAAATCTTATGTATAACGCTCGAGCAAATGAGCACTTATCATCACTCCAGATAAGTCCTCTAATCTTGCCTCAGGAATAGACATTCAAAAAAATCTTTTTCTTTTATTTAAAATCGAAATGTACATTTTATAATATGTTACTATAGAGATCAATTTGGGTTAGATGGGGAATGGTTAAATTTATTGATTAAAAATTTCAAAAATTGTCATATTACTAACAAATATGTCCACATATTTTGTGGTTTAGTGTCAGGTTTACGTCTAGAAATTCTAGCCAAAGATCTATGAAATCGACATAGAATTAGTATAGAATTAACAACTTTCGATTTAACCATAACAATTTTGGATGGTAAATGAATCTCCCCCTAGATTTGTCAAATAAATGGGTTGACACGAACCCAACTACACTTGAACGAACTCTAATTAAAATAACATTTGTACATAACAAAGTCCCGATTATATAAAATTCTAATTGAATTAGATATATATTGAATAAATCTTGACGTACTTCCGATCGGCAAACAAGTAACCTTTTAGGTCATGTGGGACAGTAGGAATTGAATTGGATAGTAATGAGAACATTTGGGTTGATATCACATTAATGTCACGAAATTAGTGGACTCACAACTATTATCCGCTTTTTAATCCAAATTTGTCCGACGATAGCAATACTTACTCAAAAAAAAATAAAAATGCAAGTGGGACATCACCACCAGATTGTGACACTACAATTCACCCTACTATAACGAGCAAAAAATCCATAAAAATGGTATGTTCTAACCGATGTAAATCAAAACTAGCTCAGAATACGTACCGAAAGCCATGCCAGAGCCTTCTCCGGCAAAAACAAAGATGACCATTGAAAAAAACTCTGCAAGCGCCGCCTTGAGGGCGTCTGGGTGACTCGCCTCACCCGGCGTCCCCACCGCGATTCTGTAAATCGGCATTTTCAAGTTATCTTCTCTCTCCCTCTCTAACCTCAGAGCTTTTGCAAAACCCTCTGCTCTTTTCAGTTGCTTTTGTTTAGTAGTTCAATCCTCTATGTATACATATACCTGAAATAACGGCAGAGGAACCGGTCTTCAGTCAAAATATACAGCCACTTGTCATTGCCTTATACAGCTAATAAAGAGTTCGTAACTTGTTCTTGAAGTGCCACGTGTGTGGCCGTGATTTAGTCTAGGCCCGTCTGGAATTACAGATCAGAGGGCTGTGCAGCCGACCAAGTGACGTGGTGGGGTCCTTCTTGATGTTAGTAGATTTTCAACACTTGAACCTCGTGGTTTCCAGAGATGGTCGGCGAGTTATCAGATTTATATTAGACCGACCATTTTGAATATCTAGCAAAATAGCATTAGAGTGTATTTTTTTTATATAATAATTGATCACTATAGTTTTTCAATAAAAAACATATATCAAAAAAGAAATTGAGGATTAACAGTTAGTCTAATGATTATTTAAAAAAAAAAAAAAAGATTATTAAAGACCGATAATTAAGCCGAATTTTACGAACTCAAGCCCAATTTATCGTACTCGTTTTTCAAGTTTGGCTCGTTTTTCAAGTAAGTTGAGCTTAAAATGAGTCGAACTTAAGCCGAGCCCGTGTAACTCGAACCGAGCCTTTTTAGGTTCGTTTTCTAAATAAGTTTAAAAAATTGTTTAAACTTGACTTGTTTAAAACACAAGATAAACTCGAATCGAGTCCTATTCGAGCTAAGTCTGAGTAGTTCAGCTCAATTATCAGTACTAACCGTAAGCCACTGTTGGACCGTTAATTCACAAATTCGAATTTCACCGATCTTTTCCCTGTAATAGTTTCAAATAGTGACAAAACAAATTATATCAAATACGAAACACTCACTGAAAAGTAAAGAAAATCGAAAGATTGCACAAGTGAAACCCCAATTACAGGATATAGTATCTTTAGAGAGTCAATAGTGGGCAAATCGACCAAGTCTAATTGATTTTTTAGTGGATATTTGAAATGGTTATAAATAAGCTAGCAAAAAAAAAAAATGGAAAATAGGTAGTATTTTTTTAGACGAAATTCTATACTATGTTGGGGACCATAAATGTTAGGTTGGGTCGGCTCTAGTGGTCCCAGAAGAATCCAAATTAAGGAATGATTCATTTGAATCTACCATGGTTGCCGCCAAAGATAGATATGTCAATTCGTGTGGTGTCGTCATCTTGCATGATGTTATTTTTATATTATTAAGGATAACTCGTGCTTAAAGAGATGAGAGAAAAGATCTTAGAGAAAGGGCAAAGAGTGAGGAGAGAGTAAGGCCAAATTTAAATGTAAATAATTTTAAAAGGAATGTTAGTGGCCGTTAGATGAATCTATTTAAAACCGTCGAATAACTTTATTGAAGTTTGTTTGTTTTATATTATAAATGTTATTATAATTTGTGTTGTGTTCATTTTAATGCCCACGTAAATTTTTTACTTTTAATGTGTTATAAGTGTCCAACATTATTATAAACAATACCTTTCTATTTTTGGAAGAGGGTATATCGAATAATTCTTAGGGATTGTTCAGTAATTGAACTTGATCTTTAATAACTTGCAAGTTCTACATTCAATCCCTTCACACACCCTTTTGAGGGTTACTCACATTTATTCTTCAGCAACATGTTCTAACCCAATTCAAATCACGGTTGTAGACACTGAGTTTGAGAAATAATTAACGCAAGTTTGAACACCTTATAATAAATGAAAAAAAAAAAGAGAGTAAATCGAATGGAAAAATACGTTTATAATTAGACCATTATGTCTTAGCCTCATGTTTTACAGATTTATTAATTTTCTAGAAGTCTTGCACATGCGGTCACTCTATGTAAAAAAAGAGAATTGGTCATTTTGATTAGGGTTTAAAAAAAAAAGATTTGTTATTTGAAAAATAAATGAAAGATAAACTGATATTTTTATGTGATTTTTTAATCATAAATTCAAAAAATATGTAGTTAAGATAACTTTTCGCCAAAAAACCATTGTACACTGATTGGAGTTGAGTTTGGACAACCCTTTTGACTACTGACTGATGGGGATATTAAGGGTGGATAATTACGTGAGAAAGTTAAAAATGAATTATCGAGAAAAAGGGAATATCACCTGTTAATGCTACCATTTTGTCGTGTTGTTTGATAGTTTGATAGATTTTTATAAGTTAGTCAAAAACATAATATTCTTAGATCTAATGTTTGGTTCTTAAATCAATTCTTTTGGGTGGCTTACGCTACGACCCTGCGATAGACAGTGCCGACAAGTCTTAAAACAATCAAGAAGTTAGGTACAAATGGATAAGAAATTATCGAGTAATCATATTTTTATTTGAATTATAACACGATGTAATAAATCATACTCCCGTCACTACGGGTTTTAAAAATGATCATATAGTTGCAATCATTACCACACATGCTGAGTGACTATTTGATGGGTATGGAATGGACACCAAGGAGTGAGCAAGATATTTAAGTAAGGACTAATTTATGATTGAAGATGTGAATAATCCATTTAACATGTTGATGGGGGTGAACTTGGTCCTCACTGGGATGAGCATAGAATGAAGTAGGCTTAGTGATTTTACTTTAACAAGTTTAATGAGGTCAGGACATATATTTATGGGTGAGAATAGCCACCCCTTTTCCCTCTAAAAAAGCACAAGTTAGAAATACAGATTCAAATAATCAATTTCAAAATCACTGTACAACAGCAAATTGATTTGTCAAAATTCTGCAGATTGGGTAATGAATAGGGTATTTCGAACATGGGTATCACTTTGGGTAATGAATAGACATGCATTCATAAGTCATATTCATCTTAGCTAGCTGAAGTTGTGAGCAACAAAAAAATAACTTAGCTGTGTTTTAAAAACAGGAAATCATTATAAGTGAGACGGACGAAACTCAAGGCCGGGGGTTTGATAGCCCAGAGGCCTGCCAAGCCCAAAAGGTCCGGAACAGAGAAGGAGAACTTAGCATCAACAAAAAATCTATAACCCAACCATCTATGTCCAGTCTAAACCATAGAGCGGTTTGGAAAAGGAAAGCCCAGCTCAAGCTATTTCTAGATCATCAGAGGGGACCGTAAATCCTGGGATTGAGGGGGACCATTCCTGACACCTATGAGAATCTCAGATAAGGTGGAGCACCAAACCGCTAGAGATCATGGCAACGGCAGCGCCGGATGAACAGGGACACCGGATGAACAGTGATCGTGGTGGCAGGAGAAGAAAGAAGTAGGTAGAAGAAATGGCAGCTGGAGGCTCTAGGAGGAGCTGGTTTAAATAGATAACGATAACCCAGGCAAGAGAAGAACTTGATCCCCCCCAAAAGAAGATGAGTGAACACTAGAAAGCAAAAGAATGTAGAAAACTAAGAGATAATACCTATTCCCTTATCCTTTGTAAGTGGACCGCGAGTCCCCGAATTACAAGATGCAGTTCGCCAACCGTTGAATATATAAATCCAGCGAGCAAAAAGCTCCGTTGATAGTGGACGTAACCTTAGTCCTTTGGCTAGGGTGAACCACTTATATTCCTAGTTTAACTGATCACAAATCCATGATCTACAAAGCCATTTCGTAACGCCATCCCATCATAATCGGGCTTGGGCCCTAAAATCCGAGCACCATCAATAAGCATGGACTATGCATCAAACCCTATCTTTCATGAAGAAATATGATGACATCTTTGAAGAAACACAACAACAATTGTTCCAAAACTTGAGTAAGTGTTAACCGAACAGACAATTTAAACTAATTTCACCTCTGTTCATTGATACACCAGTAGAGGGAATTTCGTAAAACCGCAACCTTCAACGAGGAACTATAGATCTAGCGACCAAGTTGGGTTACAAGTATTTAACATTCAATTCAATCTAAACCCAAATGATGAAGGGAGCATTACAATGAGTAAGGTTTATGGTTCTTATCAGAATAATTTACAGTGGAAACGACAAAAGAACTGACATGTTGAAACAAACTAAAGGAGATAATTCCAATTCGTAACACAAACCATGAAATGGCAAGCACATTGAGAGTTTTCGCATTGACAAAGTTGAATCCACAATCAAATTCTAACCTTGCATACAAAATTATAATTTTAAAACAGAAAAAGTATCTAACACCAACAAAACTAACAAAACTGTCAACAGTACCGTCTAAATGACTTTAGTGATGACCATAAAATAATGAATCCATCTTAGATAATCCCAATCTTGTTTGCCACATCCAAGGCATCATAGTCTGGTGTCAACCGAACATACGCCTTCTTGGTTCCATCAGGCCTGCATCACAAGAAACAAGATAAGTTACTTCAGACACTAAAAATTACCTAATTCATTGCAACTTCTAAGACATAATAAACTGCCACATAATAAAGAAAGAATGATAAAAGCTTGAAACAATTAAATGAGATTAATATGGATATAGCTGGCTAACATTGTCCTGTACATAAATTCCGAATAACAAATTTACTCAAAAGCAAAGAGACTCCCACTAAAAGAGCCATCTAATCATAAAATTCCAAACTTCATGGCATGGTTTACATAAATATTGATAAAGTCCTTTAGTGAATGATGACTACCTGATCAAAGTGTTCACTTTCTTGGTCTGAATGTCATACATCTTCTTCACTGCGTCTTTGATCTTTTTCTTGTCAGCACGAATGTCAACAATAAAGACCAAGGTGTTGTTATCCTCAATCTTCTTCATTGCAGACTCAGTAGTCAGTGGATATTTGAGAATTTGGTAATGGTCCAATTTATTTCTTGGAGGCGCACTGATGCGTGGATACTTGGGGTTCCTATCCTTCTTCAAGGTCTTAGGCCGGTGAAAGGTAACCTTCGTCCGGATCTTCTTAGCCTTCTTCTTGAAGGTTGATGAACCCGATTTCACAGCCTTGGCAGCTTTTAAGGCCTGGGCCTTTGGATCACCCTTTTTTGAATTGTCAACTGAGGAAAAGGTGAAGTAGGTGTAAATGTATTAAGAGCGACACAAAACCAGTAAAACCCCATGAAAATGGAAGGATACCTACTCCTGTTAAACAAAATCAAGCGAGAAAAAACAGACAGACTAGTCCGACTACCCTTTTCTATCAAGATATAGGTATGGATCATCACAATGATTCACATCACCATATAGCATTTTTCTGCCTAATTAGCATCAATTTAGAGGTAGTAATAGTAATAGGAAAGCCATGAAAACATTAATCATTTCCTTCACATTAAAAGACAAAAACAGAATCTTAAATATTACAATAGTTTCTCCCATGTTGTAGTTCCACAACCAACATCAGTTAATTCCCATCAGTACTTTAGTTTAGCACCACAGCATTATTGACACCCGCTTACACATTCGTTATACATATTGATAACTTGATAGCTCAAAAGCGGAGCATACTCAGCTCACACATTTAGTCCAGCTAGTAAATTCCCACAATTAGAATTCCCAATTTCAGATGGTTTCTTATGATAAAACACACACTAAATTCATCCCGCAGTTACTGAATAAGTAAACAATTACACACACGCAACACATACATATATTCCTGACATTACATAATAATCATCATTATCTACCCTAAACATAAGATCCAACAGCATATGTATATACAGACACAAACAAACACACTCAAATATATCTATATGAGGAAAAGAAGGGTTTCATTCAAACACATACCTTTAGCAGGAGCCATTCCTGATCACTGCTTCAACCTAATCAAACCATTCAAATCACAATCACAAGAAGATTGGCATCGTGAGTCCACATAGAAGAGAGATTAAAACAAACAGATATATATACACATATATATATTCACACACACAATTGCTAAGAACCCTAAAACACATCGGAATCGGTGGAAAGAAGGGACGTACCTTTACTCGAAGAGATGATGGGTCGCTGCGGCTACCGACTAGGGTTCAGAAATGAGATGTGGGCGGGATAAACACGGGTCATATGTAGAGGCGGAATTACTAAAATAGCCTTTCTGACGTGAGAGGAAAGTGACCGTAAGGTGTGCCCTATATCAGAAATGGACCGGGCTATTTCAGCCCGCATGAAAGTTGGGCTAGACTATTTAGTTTGATAATTGGATAAAGGACCGAAGCGAGAGGGACTGTAAGATGTGACCTATATCAGAAATGGACCGGGCTATTTCAGCCCGCATGCAAGTTGGGCTAGTCTTGTTAGTTTGATAGTTGGATAAATGACACTTTATACCTTGAAAGGTTTTGAAAATTCTCAATTTATATTTTAAATCAGATGAAAATGTAGAAAATATTTTTATTTAATTGAAGGTGTAATATGAAAATTTCAATCTTTTAGAATATAAATTGTGAATATAGATATCTTTTGGAGTACAGAATGTTATTTGCCTTGCTCCGCTTTAAGCCGGGCTGAATCATCAACAAAGCTCCTTTACCTTTGTCATCTTTGCCCTGGATTGTGTGTATCATATTTTGGTACACACATTTATATCAGTGTGTCAACATATGATACAACACCAAAGTAGAGACATTCATTTCATAAATTAGTGAACCTAAAACGACACGATTAATAAACGAATCGGGTATGGGTGAAACTAATCAAAATAAATACACGGCACATTCAATATGACACGATTTGTTAGACACCAATTAATAAATGAATCGTGTATGAATGAAGTACTTTTTGACACAAACACGCTCACACAACACGATAGATAGACCTAATATCAGTTATATACAATACATCGGTGGCATGATTGTAGGAAATCTCTCCGCCTATTTATTTATACAGATATACATAGATATCACCGAAATTTTAACAATGCACATACATACACACATATATACATGATAGTATAATTAAATCCATGTTTCTGATTTGGGTTTGGATCAGTAAAGTTTATGCGATAGATGAGAGAGAGAGAGAGAGAGAACGAAATTAACATGAAAAAGAAGATTTTATTTCAATGTTGAAGTCTTAATTTTAATGAGACTAATCTTGCAAACCCATGGTCATATTCTGTGGGCAACTAACAATGTTTGGGACATTAATATTCCGTGAGTATCAATGTTATATGGGATAAAATGTTGGGCAACTAAAAAACAACATAGTGACAAAATGAGTGTAGTGAAAATAAGAATGCTAAGGTAAATGTGTGAAAAAACTAGAAAAGATAGAATACGAAATAACTGTATTGGAGAAATGGTAGGAGTAGCTTCAATTGAGGATAAATAAAAGAGAAAATAGATTAATATAGTTTTGTCATATTAAACAAAGACCAATAGAGGCACCGGTGCAAAAAAATGAGAGAATTTCTCTTAATGGTATTAAAAGTAGGAGTAAACATAAATTAACATTAAACGAAATAATAAGAAAATATATGAAAATATTTAACTTAAATGAGCATATAGCGCATGATTGAAATGAATAACGAAAACAGACTCAAATAACCGACCCTAAATAATTAGAACATAAGACTTGATTTTGTTTGATTTGATTAATATCGGTATCAATGACAACATAAATAGAAATTCTGCAAATTAGTGTCCAATAAATCTAACTTTTTCTTTCAAAAATGTATATTAGGATTTGGGACTGTATTAGGTCTACTACAGTCACATCCAAGCAGGAGTTTTATATCGACTGCTATCTCGAATCTTTTATTTTTTTCAGTTCAAAAAAAAAAAAACTTTAAAAACATGATGTTAGAATACTTTACTACTTTCATTTTCAACAAACAACTTCCACCATTTGCAAAAAAAAAAAAAACTGTAATTCTTGGTCCACATTTCAAGCATAGGGAAGAACGGGTAAGCTCACCATCATTCAAGCATACCAAGAGCAGGATTGTAATTTCATTCAACCTTAGATTTGTTACAAGCTAATTTCATTTTACCAAGAGCTGTCGAAAAATAAAATCTTACACAGTAAAAACCAAGAGGAGGATAAAACATTGTATTCAATCTTTCAGCCCAATAACCACCTCCACATATATATAGGTTAAACAAACCCAATACTAGTACCGTCATTGTATGGACAACTCCACCATATTCCCGAGGAAGATGGTGGTCAGGACTGTTTCAGACTGCAAAGATGTCTTCAACAGCTGCACACCCTAATAAGAAACCACATTTAAATCAGTTCTTCAAACTTGAGAATACCCACCCAACCTGCCTACCAACATAGGTTTGGTGAACAAAAATGCTAGTGATCCCAAATAGAAACCCAAATGACTCTGGACCCTTGGATAAGTGGGTCATATTCGTTTGGGATTTCAAATTCAAGAATCATGGTATAAATGGATGAGTTTACCACTCAATTTGACTCAGAAAAGATGAAAAATGTTCCATATTTAAAATAAAACTCAACAAGTACAATCTAAATACATATCATTCATTCAATGAGGGTTAGATGAGTGAGTCTCCACTGAAAAAATTAATGAGACTAACTCATTCAAAGAATAATATGTATTTGAGTAGTAATTTTTTGAGTTTCATTCAAGTTATGTAACATAACTCAGAAAAGATATGGATGAAATAAATTTTAAAACATAGGATACCAAATCTATGATAACTAGACAACTTGTAGTCGCAAATGTACATATAGCATAATTTTACTACTTTACCTTTTCCCAAAAGACAAATGATTGAATGAAACTAGACATACACTTGGTTTTGATAAAAAATGGGATTAGACATGTGACTTACCTCATTCATTCCAAAATCAACGACCCTCTCCTCAAGGGCACCAACATCCTTAACATTGAACTTGTTAAGCATTGTAATGCTAGAGATAGTAGACATAGGCTTCACCGCCAAGTCATCCATCACCATATAAGTCACCACACCTCTAACATACCCTCCTGCTGCCTCACCAGCTGACACCTCTTCGGCCTCGGCCCGTGCAACGTAGCTTACCTCCTTGGTCATATAAGCATTGCACTTAGGACAGACCGCACTCGGGTCATCGGCGACCGAAAGGTAGGAACACGGTCGGGACGAGTCGTCGGACTACCATAAAACAGAAAAAAGAATCGTTTTAGGCCTCACCCTAGAAAAAAGAAAAAAAAAGCTGCATATTTTATATATGTATATATTTAAAATAATATAATACCCTATACAAGACCTCTAAGTCTCACAAAAAGTCGAAGAACAATGTTTTATGGAGTTAAGTTTAGAACAAAAGTAGTAATATAATTCTTGTAAGCTTTAATTTAAAATGTAATTCACTTTCAATTTAGCAGCTATAATTAATTATGTTCACAAAATAATTAAATTCAAATAGCATTGTTAAAAGTCGAAACACCACAAAAAGTACCTCATATAAAAGTCTAAGCCAAAAATCTCTAAACCCAAAGCAAATTAATATGTACATGACAGATTGGGACACGACTAAAAAAAAATAGGCATCATACTTTTAAATTTTAAAATTTTTATGGGTTTTGATATAAATTTTGAGATTATTTTATAATTAAAAAATTTATAATTTGTTAGGTCAAATTATTTCTTTTAAGGTTTGAATTATAATTTTTTTGAGTTAATCGATAACTTTTGTTAACGTTATCACAAAAATTATTAAATGTTTCTAAAAAGTAATAAAAAAAATCCACAAAATTTATAACTACGATAAGGTAAAATAAAATTCTCCTTTGAGAAGTTTTTAGAGTTGTCACTTTACTCATTAAAATCAAAACTTCGTTGCATGTTTCTTTTCAGTATTAGATCGGTATTAAGGTGGAGAATAGAGATAAATACCACATGGACTCCACTTACACTTTTTTTGTTGTGTTTTTTACATGAGAGATTATTAATGGGATGAAAATCCCGGCCTGCATGCTACAATGCCCCGAAACCCATGTAGAAGGGCTTATCTCATAGCATCTAGTATGTTATATTGTAGAGAGGTATATGGGCTGTCAATATGATATAATAGTTAAATTAATACAAAAATTATTATTTTTTGTGGAGCCCATTATAAACACTCAACACGCATCCAAACATGGGATGATATTGAAGAAAATATACATACCAAGATATAAAAACTATTGTGTTGGATTGACATGAATTTCATTATCCATTACCATCCAAACTTATCCCCGAAAAAACATACCCGTATGACCTTGAATGCTCTTGACCCGGCTGATAGTTGGAGCACGTGTAGAACTTCTTGTTCGTAACAAATGATACATCAGGCAGCAACAGAGGAACTTGAGAAGCACAGATTTTGGGTTTCAAGAGAGAGTCCTTGTTCTGGTCGGGTTGAAAGTATGTTTCGCTCAGGTTTTCGAAGCTCTCGTAAAGGTTACCCAGCGAACCCACCATGGATTGCTTTGTGAGAAGCCTAACGACTGCTCCAACAGGCAAAGAGAGAAGGTTGAAGAGGAAATCAACGAAGTCTTTGCCAGCTTCTGCAAAGAGAACCTTGTTGGTTTTTGTGTCTATAAGAAGCTTCAAGCTCACTTTCGAGTCTGCCATGGCTGTGAAAGGTCTATTGTTTTGGAGTTTCGTCATGACTGGCTTTTAACCGTGTTTGCATACGCTACCTATGGGGCGGGCCCGTTTGGGACTAACCTTTTTAAGTTAAAAATTGTTGTTTAAAAACTACGTAAAAAAAAAAAAAAATTTTAATAATCATTTACAAGATAAATAGTTATTAATAATTATGAAATATTATGAATCCTACATGTATATGTATTACATATCAAATATAGACGTAAACCGAATTCAATATTAAATTACATCTTTATAAAAAAAAATTTAATTTTAAAAAAATATAAAAAAATCAATTCAAACAACCTCGCCGTCCGCCTAAAAAATTCATCTAACACAACCACCTATTGGCACTCACACCCATAACCAGGACCGGTCCTAGCCTCCTAGACCTCAATATCTTTTCTTTTTGGCAGCATCTATTCAGACAATTGGACCCACAAAATTATTCTTCAATCCAGACTTTATTTTTTAGGGCCCGCATGTGAAGAAATTTGTCTACTTGATTGTCCTTTTTCTTTTTTTGGTGCTTATGGACCCACAAAATTATTCTCTTAATCCACACTCAACTAGGACAAGTTTACTTTCTAGGCCCCTAGGTCGAGAAATTTTTGTACATAACTGTCCTTTGTTTTTTTTTATCTTTATCTTTTTCTGTTTTTGGTGCTTGCAGGGTTGTTCGTTTGCCATTTCTAAAAAAGTTCTGTGAATGCGCTCTCTCTCTCTCTCTTGCTTTTTATTTTAATCAGTTAAATTATAATTTTTTATTTTTTAATAATTTTGTACAATTTTTAATTATTTAATAATCATATTTTGTCTATTTTAAAAAAGAATTCAAAAAATTAATAATTAATCACAAGAGAGTCAGAATTCAGCGCGACCAATTTTTTTCGACCCCAGATAATAAATACTGTACTTAAAAATATAAATCTTGTTATAAAAAAGGCCCAAAAAAAGATAAATAAAATATACATTCGAACTAAAAAAAGAAGTGCGTAGAATTATAGTTAGTAATAAATAAAATAAAAATATAAGTGCAAGTAATGGTTTAACAATTGAACAACCGGACATTTAATAAAATTAAATTTACAGTAAAAAAAAATAGATAAACCTAATATATGTTTACTTTTTTTTTAATAACTACATAATATCATATATACTATTATACTTAGTTTTAATAAGGCCCATTTATAATTTTAGCCTTGAACCTCTGAAAACATCGGGCCGCCCTACCTTGCCCCTAGCTAATTATGTTTTATGTGTTTTAATTTGTTGTTTTTCCTCCTTGAAAATGACTCATACATATTATAGTATAAATAATATTAAAGGAGATCAATATTTTGATCATATTCGATTCATTTATCAATTCAAACAAATTTGAACCAATTGAAACCCAACTGAACTCGAGCAATTATATTTGTCATGACAACCTTGGATAGAAATGTAAGACATTTAGCAACATTCTTAAATATGTATAATTATATAGTTTTTCTTTAAAGTAAATGATCTGGAAATTGTAGATAGAAGTTATGTGGCATTTTTAGATCACTGTGAAACATTGAATTCAAACATTGATAAATTAACAGTGGCTTAGAGTTTTTTTTTTTTTGTTGACTTCGGTTCGGTATTGTTACTTGTGAAATTGTAAGAATTTTTTTTTTTTTTAAAAAAATCAACACGTGTGCTCCACAAGCAAGCAATTATTGTGGCAAAATTTTAGTCTTGCCGTTAACGGAGTTAAGTAGTGCATTTTAGTCCAAAAATCACAAGGGGATTAAGTTCCATTTGACAACCTTAGGGAAGTGATGTGCAAACGGGTCATACCACAAGGGGGTAAAATGATGTTTCCCCCACCCACCCCGCCCTTTTTTTTTTTTTTATCAAAAGATGTGTTAATAGAATGATCCCCCTTGTAGGGGTTGAATTTAAGTTTTTTCAGATTACCTTTTTATTTGTTTTTTTTTTTTGGGGGGGGGGGTTGGGAGGAACGGAGAAGCGAGACTTGAACTCTTGACTTCAAAAAAACAAAATTTTTACGAGATAAGGAGTACTATTGAAACAAAGGTCTATTGAGGTCAAGGGTTCACTAAAAAGTAACATAAAGTAAAATAAATCATTCTATTGTTAATGGGACATTCGGGTACAAAAATAAAGTCAGTCAAAGTTATGAAACTATATTTAGTTAAACTCCCGGAAAAACCTTAAAAAGGTGGCAAATACTATGATCATCATATTGCAAATGATAGAACACAATTCTACCTTCATGTGGGTTAACCTAAAATTACTTTTTTAATGTTTATATGTTTATATATTTGTCTATCATCAGTTAAACTAGAAAACTTCACTACTTTCTCTATACTATATATAAATCTTCTAATGTATATGTTAAAATACAACTGAACAATATACAATTGATATTCATTTTTTATTCTCTTATTTCATATGCTATCAGAACCTAGGCCCGTGAATCTTTCAAGCCAATGATAATATACGTTGTAGTTGCCCTATGAGGGATCCTCCACATCATAACTCTTGGGGCTTTTCTCCTTGTGATGATCCTCTAACAACCTCTTTCGGTTATTCTTCAGCGATTTTTTGGTCGTCTTTCGACAGTATTCTAATTGTCTCCCAACCATCTGACAACAACTACTTTAGGATCGTCCTTTGGCAATGTTCCGATTGTCTCCCAACTATCATCTGGCGAATTTTCAGTCATCCTCCAACTGCGTTCCAATTGCCTCCTAGCCATCCTCTGGTTGTCCTTCGGCGTCACTCCCGCTACAACAACTTTTTTGTCTCATCTTATTGTAGCGGACCTTGAGGCAATTATGACCAAGGTTTTATCTCGTTCTTCCACTGTCTTATCAATCTCTTCAGGTAAATCTCCTCCCTGGTTTATCGACTCAGCCTATTGCAATCTTATAACATTTGATTCCTCCTTGGTGCCTCATAAGAAGTTTTTAAACTCTGTGTCTCACATATATACTACTAACGATTCACACAAATCTGTTACTCATGTTAGTCCTAGTTTTACCCCTACTCTTTCTATACCTGACACGTATCTTGTTCTTAACTTGTCTATAAATCTTCTTTCTGTTAGTCAACTTGTTGAATATAGTCTTATCTTAACATTTTCTTAGAAAGGTTGTGATGTGTAGGACCAGAACACAGGCCAGCTTGTTAGGACCGGGCGTAAAGTTGGTCATCTTTTTAACTTACATATCAATGTGTGTCTAACTCATGTTATGTCCAACCTTTTGTTGTTGTTGTCTCTTCTAGTATTTGACATTCTCTTCTCGATCATACATCTTTACCTTGTGTCTAGTCTTTAGCTTTTAGTGGTTTTTTAGGAGATGTTAAATTTGAATTGCTTGATTGTATATCTTGTCAACTGGGCAACATAAAACTTTACCTTTTAGTGGAAGTGATTATTTGTCTTTTGTACATTTTGATTTGGTTCATTCTAATATTTGGGGACCTGCTCTTGTCTTCAGTAAGGGCGGGTCTCGTTATTTTATAATTTTTATTGATGATTATTCACGATAAATATGCCTTTATCTTTTACATGATCATTCTAAGTTACTTACTAACTTTCGTGATTTCAAGCAGATAATAAAAACTTAGTTTGATCACACTATTAAAATTTGTCATTCTGATAATGTGGTAGAGTATAAGGCTGCCTCATTCATTGAAGAACTTAAACAGGCAGATGCTTTGTCTCATTGATCGTATCCTTACACCTCCTAACAGAATGGTTGTGCAAAACATAAGCATCATCAAATTTTTGACACTTTTCGTTCTCTCCTTTCTTTTGCCTCTCTCCCAAAATGTATTTGGAGAGAAGCCGCCCTTACTATTGTTTATAGTATCAATTGGGTTCCATCTCCTACTATCTCAAATCGATCTCCAAATGAACTTTTCTACGAAAATGTACTTGATTATTCTTTTTTAAAAGTTTCTGGTTGTGTTTGTTTTATCTTACTCCCACCTCATGAGTATACAAAACTTGAACCCCGTTCTCGTCTTTGTTATTTTCTTTGGTTATGGCATTGAACATAAGGGTTATCGGTTCTATGACCCCATAACCAAGCGTCTTCGAGTCTCCCCAGATGTTCAGTTCTGGGAACACAAAGTCTTGACTAGTGTTTCTCAGTTCTCATCCGATGCTTCCTCATATTCTCTTGTTTTCATTAACCCGTTTGTAGATCTTTTCCAAGATTTTCCTTCTGATGTAGGTAATATAAGCTCATTAGGTGATAACTCAACGACTGCTCCTCGTGATTTCGGATCGTCTATTGATCCTGTCATCACATCTGATCCACCTGAGCCCTCCTCAATGAACCTAACTGTAGATCTTTTCCCATATTTTCCTTCGACTATAAGTATTGTAAGTTCATCAAGTGATAACTCAACGACCACTTCTCATGACACTAGATCGTCTATGGATCCTGTCATCAAATCTGATCCACCTAAGACCTCTTCTACTTTTGATGTTTACCATTCTAATAAGGTAAGATCTCCCCTTGTCCATCTTAGTAATTATGATTGTTTTTATCTCTTGTTATTCCTCATAAGCCTCATAGTTATTGTGAGGCTTATTTTGATCCTCTTTGGTAGCAAGTTATGTCTAAAGAACTTGATACCTTTCACAAAACTCATACATAGAATTTGATTGATTTGCCTCATAAAAAGACTGTAGTTGAGAACAAATGGGTATATAAGAAGAAAACCAACTCAAAGGTGCGATATAAGGCTCGTATGCTTGCCAAGGGCTTTACAGATGAGTATGACATTAACTATGAGCAGACATTTGCTCCTGTTGCTGCCATTACCTTTGTTCGCTCCCTTTTAACAACAAATTTTGCATGCTGATGGCCTTTATTTCAAATGGATGTGAAGAAAGGCTTGTTACATGGTGACTTGGTTGAGTAGGTTTATATGCAGCCCCCCTAGGGGTGTCTTCACCCTCTTGGTAAGGTGTGTCAT